CAGTTCCAAGCTTTCCTTGACAGTTCGGGGCTGCTGGACTTGGGGTTTAGAGGACCCCGTTCACGTGGTCCAATCGCCAGGGCCTAGCCACACACATTCTTGAAAGACTCGATCGTGGTTTAGGGTCTGAATTGTTTATTAACGATTGGCCTAATGTGCAGGTTCTTCACTTAACTGATCTTGGCTCTGATCACAGGATGATCCTCTTACAGCTAAATCCTGGTGCAGGCAAAGGGAAAGGAAGATTCCACTTTGATAGGAGATGGACATCGAATGAGGAAGCCCGAAACATAATCTTTTCGGCGTGGCAGGTTGTTGCTCCCGGGACCCCTCAATTCAGACTGTTCTCGGCTCAAAAGACAGTCCGACACCAGCTGGTTGAATGGGCGAAGAGTGGCACCACGAACTCAGCTCGCTTAATCAGGGAACTCAGGTTGGCCGTCGAGACAGAACGGGACCTGCTGCCTGTCGACTGGGCTGTTATCCAACAGCTCGAACTCCAACTAGCTACTGCTTACCGCCAAGAAGAGGTCTTTTGGAAGCAAAAGTCGAGGAATGGATGGCTTCAACTGGGAGACTCGAACTCGCACTTCTTCCACATAACTACGAATCAGCGGAGACGACAGAACCAGGTTGAATTCCTCAGAGATGAAGATGGGTTTGTCCATGTGGAGGAAGAACCAAAAGGTGAGGTAGCTGTGTCATATTTTCAATTCCTGTTTACATCTAATGGCAGCCCGTTTTCCTTCCTTGTGAATGCTTTGGGGATAGCTCGGAAAGTGTCCAGCAGGCAGAATGATTTTCTTTTAGCTCCAGTAACACATGTGGAGATCAAGAATGCAGCATTTGACATCGGCCCTTCTCAAGCCCCTGGCTCAGATGGACTCACAGCAGCGTTCTATCATTCCTATTGGGAAATTGTTGGTAATTGTGTGTGTGTTGCTGCTTGTTCATTCTTCCGATCTGGTAGGCTGCTGCATAATTTTAATCATACATTGATAACCCTGATCCCCAAAGTCCCCAACGCGGATTCAATGAAGCAGATGAGACCAATTGGTCTATGTCAAGTTTTTTATAAAATAATTGCGAAGGTCTTATCTTCTCGTTTGAGCCAGGTACTCCCATTCGTCATCAGCGAAGCCCAGAATGGGTTCGTCAAGGGTAGGGACATCTCGGATAATATCCTAATTGCACAGGAGGTAATGCACTTCCTAAAAATGAAGAAACAAGGCAGTGAAAAGTGGATGGCCCTAAAACTGGACATGGAGAAGGCGTATGACCGAGTTGAATGGGGATTCCTGTTTGGAGTTATGGAAGCTTTAGGATTCGATGCTGGCTGGATCAAATTAATCAAGGCATGTGTTACAACGGTCACATTCTCTGTTCTGCTGAATGGGCACACCCATGGATATTTCCGGCCTGAACGTGGCATACGACAAGGTGATCCCCTCTCACCCCTCCTCTTTGCCATTTACACTGAAGCTTTCTGTACTATGATTTCGAATGCGCTGGAAAATCAGCAGCTTCTTGGTTTAAAAATTCATCGGTATGCGCCTTTGGTATCGCATTTACTGTTTGCTGATGATACTTACCTTTTCTTGCGAGCCTCCTCCACGGAATGCACACAACTCTTACAGTTGCTTAGCCTCTATGAAGCGGCGAGTGGGCAAAAGATCAACCTTCAGAAATCTAAAGTCTGCTTCAGCGCAAATGTCTCATCCCAAGAGGCGTCCAACCTGGCTTCCACTTTGGGGATTGCATCTATTGGAGAACTTGACAGATATCTAGGATTGCCAGCTCAGATTCACCGCTCCAAGGTACAGACTTTTCGGTTCCTAGAGGATGGCCTAAGCAAGCGGATTCAAAGCTGGAAAACCAAGTCGCTCTCGCTGGCCGGGAAAGAGGTCGTGATTAAGGCTGTGGGATCAGCAACCCCAGTGTACGCGATGCATTCTTTCCGGCTTCCAGCCACCACCTGTCGACGTATGAATGGCCAGCTCTCCCGCTTTTGGTGGGCGAGCCAGGACAAAGACAAAGGTATCCACTGGGTATCGTGGCCGGCCATTTGTGTTAGCAAGTTTCGGGGGGGGCTGGGCTTCCGAGATTTCGACTTGTTCAACATAGCTATGCTGGCAAAGCAGGCTTGGAAGCTGATGTCCTCTCCTTCTTCCACTCTCGCCCAACTTTACAAGGCCAGATATCACTCCTCCTGTGACTTCCTCCACGCCCCAGTTGGAAATCGGCCGTCATGGGCATGGCAGGGAGTCTTACAAGGTCGTGCACTACTTCTCAAAGGATTAAGATGGCAAGTGGGTTGTGGCACATCTATCCGAATTCTTGAGGACCCTTGGCTGCCAACGTCTCCGCCTTCCACCCCCACCCTTCGCCCAGGTATGAGTTTGCCAAACCCATTTGTAGCTTCGCTTATAGATCCTCTATCGCGGTCGTGGAATCAGCAGTTCCTCCATAGCCTCTTTACCCTTGACAGCACTAAATTGATTCTCTCTATCCCCATTCCGCTGTCACCTAAGCCGGATCGCCTGATTTGGCACTTCTCGGAAACTGGTTTGTATACTGTCAAGTCAGGATACCATGTTCTTTCAGATGAACGGGCTGAGATATTTAATACCTTACCCTCTCATCTGGATTCTCGATTTTGGAAAGTGTTATGGAGCCTGCCGGTACCGCCGAAGCTACGGGTATTCTTGTGGCGGAGTGTGCGTGGCTTCTTACCCTGCCGGGACATTCTCAAAGCTAAGACTCTCTCTGACACTGATTTGTGCCCAGTTTGTTCAGATGCGATTGAAACCATTTCACACTGTATGTTTGACTGCAGGGTAGCACGGGAAGTGTGGGATTTGGCGGGTAAGTCACAGCTGCGGACAATAGTTGCAGCGCTGCCGGCTGATTTGGCTTGGTCCCAAATATTGCTATCAATGCACCTAAGCAAGCTTGAGATGGCAGAATTGGTTTTCCTCTCCTGGCGCGTCTGGAAAGCCCGCTGCTGGGCGTGCTATGATGGTGTGCAATACTTGGCTGGCCCCCTGATTAGGCAATTTCGGCAGCAGCTTGAAGAGTGGCGCGGCGCTACCTCACCTCAGGAGATCCCCGGAACTAGCCGTCATCGTCAAGCTCCTGCGTCGACCATAGCCACTTGTCCTCAAGATGGGATGTTAATCCGATTCGATGGAGCAACACGTCAGGGAGTGGGAGGCAGCATTGGGTTCGTTGGCTTCTCCCCGGCAGGTGCGTTAACCTGTGCACACGGTAAGTTCTATGTCGGCCTATTTGATCCATTTCTAATGGAACTTCTAGCATTAAGGGATGCAATGGACTGGTGCTTAACCCGAGGTATTTTTTCTGTTTGCTTTTGTGGGGATTCGCAATTGGTGATCCGGCGAGCTTCGGAGGATATATTGGACCACAATCGCGGCGGGGCGATACTTGAAGAAATCAAATTGATGAAAGCATCCTTCGCGTTCATTCGTTTTGTTTTTTCTCCCCGTAGAACTAACAGGGCTGCCCATTGCGTGGCGAAAACAGCTCTTGCATCGGCTAATCAGCATATGGCTGATTTCCGTTATCTTCTTTTTAATTCTGTGTAATGCCCTATCTAATACATTCTACCTTAGCCAAAAAAAAAATATATCTACATGGAATTAAAATTATTTTACCCGAAATTTAATTAAATTTGTATAAAAAAAATGTGAAAAAACATACAGTTGAGGAGAACCGACAAGCTACCGGCGGCCATGTAGTCAGAGACGAGCAGCTTCAGCTTCTCGTCCCTGGGGAAGAAGAAAGCTCTAAGCAGAACCACATTGTCGTGCCTGACTTTCCCCAAAACTTTCATTTGCATCTCGAATTCCTTCTTCGTAAATCGTAACCACCACGTCTTTCAGCCGCTTGACGAACACGTCTTCCCGAGGACCTCCGTCGACGCCCTTAGTAGATCTTCGAGGTCGAAGCTGTAGACCCGCCGGTGATGTCGTTAGCCCCATTAGAGTTCCCAAAATTCATCTCATTCCCACCGCCTCCTCCATACCCACCACTCGACTGATCCATTGACGCTAGCGGCAGCGGCTGATTCCCATCAAACCCAATCCCCATATGGTCCCCACTCCCCACCTTTCTCCCCGATTGTTCAATCAGTCGCCGCCATCTCATCCGCACGCTCTTCTTGGTCGCACTTCTCCCCGATCGGCCCCCTATCATTGCTCTGAGACTGAGAATTCGAACTCGGACCAAAAATTCGTTCATGGGTTTTGTGCTCTCCACAGTGTTCGATCCGCCGTTTTCCTCCGATGACGATAGAGTAGCGTCAAAATTCTGATTCGTCACCACCCCTTCTTTGACCCCAACATTATCTGCCACCGCCATGACCTGAAGCTCTCAAATTCCCCTCTAATCAAATGGAAAGATCGATTTCTCCTGTTGATCAACACACCACACACACGGAAATGGAAATCTCTCACTACCCAGAAACCAAAAAAAAATATCGATGTAATAATAGAGGGGAAGAGGTCCCGCTGCCTTCGACAGGAATGGATAGAGCGGCGGCTCCGGCTATTGGCCTTGGATGTTTCGGCCACTGATATACAAATTTAATTAAATTTCGAGTAAAAGAATTTTAATTCCATGTGATATATAGATATTTATTTTAATGAGGTGGAATTTTAAAAAAATATAATTTTATTATTTTTTAATTGCCACGTCACTTATTTAACGGTCAACTATTAGAGTTGACTGCCACATCAGCTAAAGTTAACGGAGACTAACGGAGAGTGACCAAACTTGAACCGTTGAACTAATTTAAGTGACCACGGATGGAATAAATTAATTTGAGTGGCAAACGTGAATTTTTTAAGTAATTCTAGTGACCAAACTTGCAATTTAGCCAAAAATTATTTCAGCCACCAAGAAAATGGAAAGAAAGAAAATACAAAGCCTCACAAAACTTACATGCCAAAACAGAACACCTCAAAGACAAAAGCATCCATTATCAACCCACCACAATTGTCAATTGTCATAATGAGCTTCTCCGTTCTTTCCCAGTTGTCTTCCTTTCTCAGCCTTACAACAATTTTGGTCCAAGCATAGCATTGAGAAAGGCAGGAATCAAAGGGAAATCGCGAAGAAGATTATTTGATTAAGGCACCCAAATCCCAAATCCAGACCACTCTGGCCCTATTGGCAGATGCTGCGAGAGAGGCTAGAGTGTGTCGGTAGAAAGAAGTTTGAAGCTTGTCGGTTCTGGAATATTAAATTTGAAGCCATCTCGTTGGGGAGGGAGCTGAAATTCTAAGGATTTCCCCAGAAGGGTCCTCTCCAGATCTACATTTCTCACCAACAATCCAATACCAACATTCCGCCCACCCCCATTGTTCCTCTACCTCTCTCTCTCTCTCTCTCTCTCTAAAGGTCTTTCCTTTCCTAGTCTTGTCTGGCCTTTCAATTGGGTCTGCTCTCCCTTTTATCCTCATACGTCTGGTCTCCTTCGCCGATTTCTCCTTTGATTTCCCGGCTCACCTGCGTTTCTTGCACAAGAGCCAGGTATCCTGGATTTCGCTTGTGTATCTGCCTCTGTCTTTGTCACCATTCCATTAATCCCCACAACCTTAGCCGAAGAAGAAGACAGTGAATGCACCAAGTAATGCGGTTGAATTTGGGCTTTCCCACTAAGGGCTTGTGGAGTTTCAGGTGAATTGGAAAGCATTTTCCAGGACGGAAAAGAGGAATCTTTGATTTTCCGGCTGTGTTTGCATGCGTTTAGTGCTGAAATCTATTACAAGAGGACCAATTTTGTATTGGGGCAAAAGAAGAATGGGAGGGAGCGGTCCTTTCATCCCAATTCTGGGTTTTGCTTCATGTGTGGTCTTCATTTATCTTTCATTTGGTGACCTGTGGCCGGCGTATCCTGTGGGACCGGCGTGGAGTTTTGTGCAGAGAAATGGGACTCGGTTTGTGTTGGACGGCAAGCCGTTCTATATCAATGGGTGGAATTCGTATTGGTTGATGGACCATTCCGCCGATTACCAGAGGAAACACAAGGCTAGTGCAATGCTGGAGGCTGGTTCAAAAATGGGTCTCACCGTCTGTAGAACTTGGGCGTTCAATGATGGCGCCCACAATGCACTTCAGGTCTCCCCTGGCCGATTTGAGGAGAATGTTTTCCGGGTATGTTTAGATTCAGATTGCCCGTTTTTCATGCTGATGATGTCTTTTACATTTCTCTTCCTCTTGTTGCCTTTCTTGTTAGATCGATTTGTCATGAAATGCTTGTAGTTATATTATATAGCAATGCTGTTTAGCCTTTCATTCTGCCTCTTAGGTTTGTGGCTTTGATCTTAGATGATATATTCGTCGATATGAATTCTCAATTGTTAGTTGAAATCTGATTGTTGGTTGAAGCCAGTCTAAAGGAGTTGGAGTTTACTTCTCTCTCTTTCAGTTTTTCTTTTTTCCAAATTTGTTTATGCACTGGGACTGGCTCTAAAAATTGGTAGATGGGGCAGGTAAGATAACGTCAATGCTCTTTGCAAGAACTGTCTGTTTGAGGTCGTAGAGGGAACTTCTGTCAATGATTAGTGGGTCTCAATTGCACTTTGTTGTTTCTCCTGATCTGGTTTTCCAGAAAGAACAATGTTACGTTTGCCTTGTCTTTTCTCTTGTTTTCAGTAGCCAATTCATTTTCGGCATATTTGCTCTTTAGTGAGACAGTTAGTCCATTTCAATCTGCAATTATCATATCTACCATGCTTGTTGGCACGTCTTGTTGTAATCTGTCATTATCATCTCATGCTTCATCTTTTAATTTTGCTTCAGGCGTTGGATCATGTGATTGCTGAGGCGAAAGCACATAAAGTTAGGCTGCTTCTTAGTTTAGTCAATAACTTAAAAGCATATGGCGGGAAGGATCGATATGTGAAGTGGGCATGGGAAGAAGGCATTGGTTTGAGCGCTTCTAATGATTCTTTCTTCTATGATCCATCCATCAAAAAGTACTTTAAGCATTATTTACAGGTACTTATTTCTCAACTTTATCTACAGCCATTATTTATTTGATATTTCGTGGGGCATTTTGTATCTTACTCTGTCATTCTTGAGATGCTTATCTGTTACCAGTTATGCCATAGCAATAAAACAGTGAAGAATTTGTTGCTGCATTGAGTTGCCTGTTTTCTATTATCTTCCACCGAGTCTTTGGAATTTATGGCATGGTCAGGTCTAATTGCGTCCTTATTTCAGACCATGCTGACAAGGAAGAACACTGTCACGGGAGTCGAATATAGGAATGATCCAACCATATTTGCATGGGAGTTGATGAATGAGCCCCGTTGCATGACAGATCCTTCTGGAGATACTATTCAAGTAAATAGTGAGCTCTCACTATTATCCATTAGCTTATTGAGGAATCAACTTCATGCAAACTTGATACTACTTTTAAGTTTCTTAGGTCTCTGACCTTTGAAGCCTTCTGGAAGACCAGGATGGAAAAGTTTGTTACTTCCTTTTCTTGACTGCTTTTTTCCCCAACAACAATGGGTTTTGATATGTGATCTTTGTGAAAATAGGTTTGTTGCAACGATTTTCAAATCTAAGTTGAACTTCCTTAGATTGGCTAAAAGTCCATAGATTAATTGAATACAGTTTCAGAAAGTTAAAGACTTGTCAATTCTATGCATTTGCCTCCTTTGTAAGTTGTAACTAGAAGATTGGCTTAGCAAATGAAGGGGAGGAAGCAGTTGAGTCTATTTTTTCTAAGAAAGTGGTTAACATCACGAGACTTCTGATTGCAGGAGTGGATTGAAGAAATGTCGGCTTATGTGAAATCAATCGACAAGAATCATCTACTGACAGTGGGGCTGGAAGGGTTTTATGGTCCTAAAAACCCCAAAAGACTAACTGTGAATCCAGCAGATTGGGCTGCAGACCTGGGATCTGATTTCGTTAGCAACTCAAAGGTTTCACACATCGATTTTGCCTCCGTTCATATATACCCTGATCATTGGTTAGTATTGTTTATCAGACAACTCTTTGAAGTGATAAAAATGAAGCCATGCTAATCTAGACCTGAAAATTTGTTCTCTGTCTTGCCTTTAGGATTGCTCATCGATCATTTGAGGATAAACTGACATTTGTTTCGAAGTGGATGCTCTCACACATCGAAGATGGTCACCATGAGCTGAACAAGCCTGTCCTCTTCACCGAATTTGGATTGTCTAATCTGAACAAGGACTTCCAACCATCTCAACGTGACTGGTTATACAAAACAGTTTATGACATCGTATACAAATCTGCTCAGAAAAAGGGAGCTGGAGGTGGTGCTTTGATGTGGCAATTATTTGTGGAAGACATGGACGAGAGTAATGATGATTTCGGTATCGTCCCATGGCAAAGGGCATCAACATATAAATTGATAACAGAGCAATCATGCAAGTTGGCAAAACTCCGAGGTGCCATAGAAGAGAGCCAAAATTTGAAAGAACTGTGTTTGCAGAAACAGTGATGCAACAACCTTGAAGTTCAACACTTACCAAACTTTTGTGTGCACAATTCTGTATAAGATGAACACATTCACTTTTAGGCTTCTAGCTGTGCTCCTCTGAATTTTATACAGATGTGGCAGCACGGGCGAATTAGATATAGAGGTCATCATGAAATCAATATGGGTGCTTTGCTGTAAAATCTTCTAAAATGATCATAGAGGAGAGATTGGATTTGATATTTAGGTGCTTTGCTGCAAAATCTTTTACAATGATAATAGAGAAGACATTGGATTGATTGATCATAACAGTTCAGCTTATGGGATGAATTCATACCAAAATATAGCTACTGGATATTTGAGTCTGTCAATGTTAGAGTTGCATGACTTGGTGCCAAGATACTTCTTGCACAGTGGAGAAGATGGGCTGTCCATTTTACCAGGTTCGCCAAAACTAAAGCTACATACTCGGTATAAACATTGATTCATCATAGAGAAGCAAGCAAGGAAAACCCCTAAATCACTGAAAAGATAGCATATCAGTCCTAAACATACGATCGGATCTAGCTTGATTTTAGCTTTGCAAACCTTGGCGAAGTCCTAACACTCCCACCATTGCCTCCAGCATCAGCAGGAATCTTCTGGCCATCTTCCCCAACTTTTCTCAATCTCTTCTTGGAATTCTTCCTTGCAGAACCCTCTTTGTTCAACTCCTCAACAATCTTCATCACCGAATCACCAGCCCTGCCATTGCCTTTCTCAGACCCACTTCTCCTTGTCCTCACTCCAACAGATTCCACTGATTCCTGCGTCTTGCCTTCGTTTTTCTTCGCCTCAGTTTCCATGGCTACCCTCTCAAACTCCCCAACCAATTTCCTCACCGGCCATTTCTTACCCCTAGTTCCTTCACTCTTATCAGAGGCACCCATCTGCTCATTTTCTTCGCTTTCACTCTCATTCCCGAATAGATCCATGAACTTCCTCTTCTTCATCACTCTAGGCGCCGGAGGTGGAGAAGTAGAGCCTGCCCTTTTGTGATTCTTCTCACCGGCGGCAAGTGGGAGGACATCGTTCTGCTGCTTCTTTGGGGTATTTCCGGTCTGGGATTTGGCTTGCTTCTCCCTGAACTTGCGCAGCCTGTCGACGTTGCCTTCGATGCGACCCTGGAGGCGGAAGCGCTGGGTGTTGAGATCGCCCATGGACCAGTGAGCCTCTTGAGCCCAGGAGAGGAGAGGATCCATGACCGAGACAGGAGGATCAACGCGTTCAGTTACGTCATCGAAGATGCGAGGGACAGGGAGGCTTGTGTGATCAAAGAAGCGAGGGCGAGGGAGGCTGCTGCCGTAGAAGTTTGCGGGACGGAGAGCGACTACCATGATCGGAACTAGCACAAGCCAAGGAAAGGGAAATCCTCGGCTTCTCTGGGGAATTTTAACAAGCAGGTGGCGAAGAAATTAGGATGGAAAGGAAATTTGCATTTGCTGTGTGGGAGAATGGAGTTTGGGTTTAAATGGGAGGAAAGGGAGCTAGGGTTGGGGATCTGGCGGGACGGGGAGACGCGCGCGGTTGGTGAATGGCGGGAATGGTTTTGGCGGTAAAAGTTGGAGCCAAGGGTTTCGAGTTTTTGGGGTTTGGAAATGGTGGCAAATTGTGAATTGGTTTTCACTTCTCCCGCTTGAAGGTTGCTCGCAAGGAATTGGGCTCTGACTTTAGGGCCCTAATAAATAAAAAAATGGGAGGGGGGGTGTACAACAGTACAAGTATCGAGTGGGTTGATTTTAGGGATGGTTCTTCTCAAAAAAAAAAAATTAAAATCAAATCCATGATTGCGAGTATCAATAGCTTCCAGTTAATCTAGGAAATTTTTGGTTTTATTGAGTATGAGTAAAATCCGCAAAATGTTTGATGGGTATATGGTGGATATGGTTTTAGCCTCCCTGCCTCATACTCATACCCGTCTCATCATGAGCATTCCTTCACATATAAAAACTACATTGATTAAATTGTCATCTATCAATAATAGTGAGAGTAACTCAAGAAAATAAATAGTAAAAATGCAATTGGGTGGACACCCAAATCAAAACTTAGGGGTCGTTTGGATAGGTTATTTAGGTGAGTTATTTCGGCCCATATAACTCACAATGATTTATTTGGGCCAAAATACCACGTTTGACTTCATAAAACTTAAATAAGTTATTTTAGGGCCGGGTTATTTGCAAATAACAGAAAACGTGTTATTTGAAATAACACCATACCCCGTGTTATTTCATAATAATGCGTTGCGTGCTAATCTCTTCCCACTTTGTCCATTTCTCTTCTTTTTTCCTTTTCAGCTCATTCTCCCTAAACTCTCCGATTGAATCTCCACTTCTTTTCTTTTCAATATCAAATGGAGCTTCTAACGAAAATCTCCAATTTTTTTCCTCCAATCCATTCTTTTTTCACACAAAGTGGTTTGATTTTGTTAACAAAGGTTAGTAGTTCGGCGATGAAAGACAGCGAGTTTAGCTTAGCGGCGAAGGAGGCAAATCGTCGATCTTCAACGGCAGAGGCACCAAATTGCAGCGGTTTTGAACTGTGGCGGCTGATAACGATGTAATTGCACATGTTTGTACCCCTAGTTCTTATCCATTTGCGGGGCATAGTCGTGTGTTTTGGCCTATTTTATGACAGGTTGTGCTACTTTGTCATATTTCAGGCCCCAGACGTCGAAGGAAAGGCTAAGCACGAGTTTCGGGGCATTTGGAAGTCATTCGGTTGAGCTGGAGCCAAAGCACGGGCGCGCCTAAATCAAAGCACTGCCGTGTTCCTGGACCGTGTTTTTACTGCCGAGGCTTGATCCAAGATTGTCCTGCGCTGGCCCAAAACACGGGCAGGACTGACTCAAAACACGGCTGTGTCCAACTTTAGGCACGACCGTGTTTTACCCCAAGGTGTGGCCGTGTTTTTAACACGTGGCAAGGGCACGGGCGGGCAAAACCAAAGCACGGTCGTGCCCTCGACCGTGTTTTGCCCAGGGTCGGCCTTTTTAGGCAGATTTTAGCCAAAGGAGAAGGGGTTCCGAGTTTTAGAGAGACAGAGCGATTCCTAGAGAGAGAAAGTGACGAACCAGAGTTCCCAAGTGCCCTAGCTTGATCTTCATCACCATTGGAGCCCGGTTTGAGCTTGGAGAAGATCCGATTGAGCGCCAGAAGAAGATTATCATCCTTCATAGTATGGTTTCCGCATCTGAGCTAGATTTTCCATCTCTCTCTATGGAGTAGTTTTCTTATTCATCTGGGTATGAAGAACCCTAGATTTGTGTGTTAGGTCTGATTGTATGAACCCAAGTACAGATTCTATGATTTGATTATATTCAATTGAGGTTTGATTTATTGAATGGCATGAATCCTGATCAAATTCCTGTTGTTTCTGCTTTAACCTGGAAAGAGAATATTTGCCTAGGTTGATAGAGCACCCTTAATTGAAGGTAGTGAATTGGCGACTTTAGTCGAGAAGCCAAATCACTATTCTGTACCGAATTTACTTCGGTAGTGGAGGTTTGGTTCGTTAGGGCCTCAATCTGTTTACTCTGGTGGAGGTTAGTCGCCCGCTGGGGATTCAGATTGAGAGGGTCTGGAGACCTTTAGTCGAGACTTCAGTCAAGTTTTTGGCGCCGTTGCCGGGGACGGCTAGGTTGTTGAAGAAAAGTGATTTCTGTTACTTTAGCATTTTCATTTTCGCATTGACTGTTTGTTCTTTCCCACTTATGCCTTCACGGGTTTGCATTGCTTGACTGTGTGCAGATAGTGCATGACCCGTAGCCACTCGAGAGGTTTACTGCCGTTGGATCCAGAGCTTGAACGCACCTGCCGCCAACTTAGGAGACAACAGCGAGCTAGACTGGCTACAGAAGAGCGCATAGACGACCACCTGAGTAGAGATTCTGAGGAAGAGTACAAGATGGAAGGCGAACACAACCCACCCCAGGGGAATCCTCTCCAGGTTTCCCCAGTGAATCAGTTCTTGGGGAACAACCCCATACCCCAAGCAGATGGGGGTTCATCATCATCCACCGCCGCCGGGTCCCACCTTGGAGTACTACTATACTCCACGCATTGCTGATATCCACCTTGCCATCCTCTACCCGCCCATCCCAGCGTACAACTTCGAGATCAAGACATGCTGGATTCAACTCATTACATCCTCTATCCAGTTTCATGGCTTGAAGGATGAGGAGGCAAGGGTGCATCTTTCCCGTTTTCAGCAGCTGACGAACGGGTTCAAGCTAAACGGTGAACCTGATGATGCAATCCGCCTTCACCTCTTCCCCCATTCTCTGGCGAGGAATGCTAAAAGGTGGTTGGAGACCCAGCCCCCATTGTCCATCACCTCTTGGGACAATCTGGCTGATAAGTTCGTGCACAGGTACTATCCGGCATCGAAGACTACAGAGATCCAGCGGGAGATCACTCACTTCCGCCAAGAGCCAGATGAGTCACTTCGTGATGCATGGGAGCAGTACATGTGATTTTTCTGGCAGTGTCCCCATCACGGCTTGAGTGATGCATTCACCGTGGGGAACTTCTACAGTGCCCTCTCTCCAGACAGCCAGAGGGTGACTGAGTCTCTATGCCCGGGAGAGGATATTCTTACTAAGACTCCACCCGAACTGAACCAGATGATCAGTACATTGGCTGCCAGAGATCATTCCTGGGAGCAGAGCAGCAGAGGCAGAAATTCCCGGGATCGTGGTGTGCACGCCATGGAGGCCAGGTACGGGCTCGAGCAGCAGGTGGCCGAGTTAGTGCAGACATTGAAGCAGCCCAACAGTCTTATTCCGGGCCGAGGTTTGACTACGCCTCCAGTAGCTCAATGTCAGTGGTGTGAGAGCCTGAATCATCTGGTGGAGGACTGTCAGGCTATGCGGGAGTCTTCTACTCCCCAAGAACAGGTGGACTTCATCGCCAATGCTCGGCGCCTTGACCCATACAGCAACACATACAACGAGGGGTGGCGCCAGCATCCCAACTTCGCTTGGGGTAACAACACCACTAAACCACCTGGTTTCCCAGCATCAGTAGGTGGTTTTTAGCAGAGGCAGCCCTTCCAGGCTAGGCAGGGGCCACCACCATAGCAGCAGCCCTACCAGCCTAGGCAGGGGCAGCCATTCCAGCAGCCCCAGCGTCAGTATGCCCAGCCTCTAGCAGCTGCAACTCCAGATACTCAGATGACGGAGTTTGAAAAATATTTTGCAGGCATTCATGACCACCAGCCAG